TTAGGACTCAACATGCTAAAGCAATCTGATTGTTCGCTGTTTCAGTACCATCGTTGTTGGCGACTTCTATACATGGGAGCTTCCAGAAATTGAGCTCCTCTTGTATATCTCAAATTATTGAATTCCTTGCTATAAGACAACAAGGACCCTAAACAAGAGGCCTTAGACTTTCGGAGACCTCCACATCATACTGGTGGCAGTGAGCGGGCTGCCCCCTAGGTTAGGGTTTGAACGTTCAGGTCTAAATCCGAATTCCCAAGCCCTTCAAATCCACAAAGCTGTAGATCTGCATGTCTTGGCAACTGGGTTCTCCATAGCTGCTTTGCAGGTCTCACGTCATTTCTCCCTGAAGTAATTAGCACGGATATAAACCAGCGTCAGCTAAAGATCCCTTTTTTGGCTGTTGACCTGCTAGGAACTTGCTGAATCGTTCTGGGTGTTCTAGTCGTTGGAAGTGATAGGCCTTGACTCAAAGACTCCAGGCACCAAACCACGCACCTTAACAGCCAAGCACAAGACACGTACTTCCAGTCAGATGCCAACGTGCAGTGGCACACTCCTCCAAGTAGATTCCATTGCACCCATCTTCCCAGGCCTCCAGAAAGAGTCACCATCATCAAGCCGCCCGGGATCAGGAATCCTGCGCTTAAAGCGAGAACGTGTTTTATCGTATATAGAAGCATTGATGAAGGGTTGTTTTAAAGCTTCCAGTCGAATGCATTGTTGGCAGAAGGCTTGTTTGCTCGCTGCATTTTTTCAATCGCAGCCACGCCCAAATAGATAGTGCGACTGCTTTGCACTTTGCATGATGTCGCTGTGCATGCTGGTCATGTTTGTGCAGTTCAGCAGGATGTAATGCCGAAGGTCACGCTCTCAAGCCCCCAACGCCAAGCAAACACAAATTCGGATAGGTCCGGGGCAAATTAAAGTTTACTAACCACTCAAGCGCCCAGCATTTTGGATTAGTCCCGTATTTCCCACATGGTTGGGGATCGAACCCACAACTGGGCCATCTAATAGCCTCCACACTTTGGCAAGCCTTCAGCACAATCTCCTTCACCTCTACGCCCAGTAACCCTGCAGCCGTAAACCCCAGATCCACCAACCCCAGCAGAGCCATTTGAGTTGCTCTCAAATTATTTACCCCTTTCGGTTAAGAGTTATGAAGCGTGGCACCTATTATTTAGGGGTAGCAAAAGAGGGACGTCAACATTGGGAACTACACATGGGATCATGGGTGGTTGTCAAAATTATGGTCCGTTTTTGGTTCCTTATTATAATACGGCACCTAATATTTAGGGTACCCAAAAAGGGACCATAATTTTATCAACCACCCCGAAACCCTAAACCCTAAACCCTAACCCTATACTCCCGTTTGGCACTGCGCCGGAGCCCACATGTTTTGCAAAATCCTGGGAATGCGAAGGAACACCATCTACGTACCAGACCCGGCACCTGGGTCCTCATTGTTTAGGGTTTAGGATTTAGGGTTTAGGGATTAGGGTTTAGGGTTTAAGGTTCAGGTATTAGGGTTTAGGGATTAGGGTTTAGGGATTGTTTGAGCAGAGAGTTTGATTAGGATGGTATGACTCTCGATTAGGAGCGGTTCGGAGTTTGTAGGGGTTAGTGGTCTATAGGCTATAGAGTTTGGGGATTTATAGTCCCCCTTAGTAGATAGAACATGGCTTTGGATATGTATGGATATATATTATAAAAAGATCCCCATATTCTATCCACGTGAGGGGGACTATAGGCCATAAAAGGGGAGGGATTCTCAAAGGGTTTGGTCCTTCTTTGCCATCTCTGCCATCAGGATCCTTTTGCTTTGATTTGTGAAAGCCCCTCTTTCTAACATGGATGATAATCCCAGAGATTCCATGTACACAATCGTTAGGTACTTGGGATTTGGGTAATAGGAATTATAGTAGAGGTTTTGGGTAAGTATATGATTATTAGGTACTTGGACGCTTAGGGAACTTGGATAACGATGAAGAGTAAGCTTCATCTCCTGAAGGTCAAGCCCTGAACCCTATAAAGAAGGGTTTTTGCAGCTCTCTCTTATGGGCCTTGAGTGGAAACGCTCTGCTCCTGTTTGCTTTGCCAGGTGAACGCCCTTTATGAAGGCGCAGGGTTTGGGGGCTCAGGGTTTAGGCTACAGAAGGAGTCCAGAATTTGCAAGGCCTCCGTTGCCTTGTAATTGGCACGCTCACGAATGTCTTCATGCCGCCTGCATGGCCTAGCCTCATTATAGTAGTTTCCAGTCTCTTTTCCATTATCCCAATATAGCCCCTCTATAACCCCAATAGAATCCCTACTATAACCCTAATATCCTCCCTAATAACCCCCAAAATAATCCCTAATATAACCCCCAATACAACCCCCTTTCTAACCCCTATATAGTAGTTTCCATTTTCTTTTCCACTATCCCAGGAGGCTGATGTCAGAACAAGCACCGCGGTGGTGAATCCGGATCCTGAGCTCTTCTGGCAGCTAAGGTTTAGGGTTTAGGGTTGTAGTCCCCCCTTAGCCCCTTAGTAGATAGAATACGGGTTATATGGGGATCTTATCACTTCAGGGGGGCTACACTCCTAGCAAAATCCTTCACAGTCCCGGAGAACTCATTATAGAGAACACTTTTTCCATAATATGCCCACCTAGTCTGGGATTACAGGGGGCAGATGCCATCAAAAGCCCAGGATTGGATGTTTGCATGGGATACGAATAAGCCTTGATAACATATAGTACGTCTGAGCACAACTTAAGTTGAGGCTGCCCGTCCAGGAATGTTGAAAACATTTTTCAGAGACCGTACATGACATTGCGTCCGCATTTGCCATGGCTTCTGTCCAGACAGTCATCCTGAACTTCGGAGAAAGGGCAGGCGGTGTCCGGAGAGCCCATGTGGCCCACTTGAAATGCATTCGATGGATACTTCATTGCAAGCGGGAGCCCGAAAAGATTCAGTAGAAGATATGCAGCCATGATGCAACTCTGTTAGAACCAGCAGGGGGCACCTCGATATCTCAAGTATTTTGAACCATCCTACTGACGTTTTGAATCGAAGACTCCAAGCCCAAAGCACGCCCCAGAAGCTTTCCTTCAGGGTTTAATCGTAGAACCAGCAACCTACGTAGAACCCTCATGCTTCGATACGTGCTTGAGACCCCAAGCCCTACAGACTGTAGACCACTACCTAGATGCTCCATATACCCTCTATTATGCACCATATAACCTATCTGAGGGTACCAAGAGGCCCTGGTATATGGTCCCAGTTTTCACGTTGTTTTCCGTCGTATGTACACCCATTTATCGCAAAAAAATAAAGGTAAACTGCAAGTTTTCTCGGGAAAGGGCGTTCTTGGGGACCAGACACGTATTGAGGAGTATGGGGGATGAGCAACGGTTTTTTGGAAGTCCCCATGAAAAAACATACACAAATTATGTCGAGAAACTCCTAAATCTACTTTGCTAACTCCGAGTCCTGACATGCAAATCTGTTTTGGGGCGCGTGGGGCTACTTACACGCTTGAAGCGGCGAGTTTGCATTGATGTCCCGCATATGGCAAATTGGAGGGCATGGTTATGAATCCAGTGCTCACTTCTCGAAACTGTGGATCCCAAGGGAGCAGGACTCTTTCTGAGCCGTGGGGGGGGAAAACATCTCACAACCAGGTAATATCCTAAATTGTCTCCTAGACATACTGCCATAGATGACACTCGTGTTTTGCGATATGATATACCTGATGAATTTCAGGGTGCAAGCAAAGGGCCCCCTGCTTGACTGCTGAACTCTCGAGCTTTGAAGAGTAGCTTGTTTAGCTTCGGCACTCAACCCTCACGAATCCAAATGAAACCATGGTGTAGTTTCCTCATATGGGGCGGGGGGGAACCGAGGGAAAACCCCCATGTAGAGTGCTACGATAGGCATATAACCCCAATATAACCCTAATATTACCCTATATATCCCTTTAAAGGGACCCAGGGTTTCCATTTTCTTTTCCATTATCCCAATATAACCCCAATATACCCCTAGTAGTTACCTATATAACCCTGTAGAATCCCTATAATCCCTAGTAGTTTCCATTTTCTTTTCCATTATCCCTATATAACCCCCCTTTAAGGGGAAAGGGTCCTGGGCCGAGGAGCAACAGGACCGCATCTCGCCGCAGCTTGCTGCATTCTCTGCGGCCTCCCAGGAGAAGATCGAAGCCCAAAAGAGCCTCAGCCTTTAGGGTTTAGGGTTTAGGGTTTAGAGTGTCTTTGTAGGGATTTGGGTTATATGAGCTATAGTCTAAACTCCTTACTGGGGCTACTATAGGGCAATATATTGGGGACTACCATAGGGGCTATTAAGGGGGATACTAGGAGTTTAGACAATAGCTCAAATGGCCCTTGATGCGATGTGTTGTGTGATTCACTGGTACTAAATATTTTCTCCTTCGAGGCCCAATCTGTTGGGGATAGTTGAAAGCAGGGGGTGGGGATGTTTGTTATCAGTGGAAGGGACTCACAGGATGTATGCCTTAGAAAGAGTCACAGTAAGGACCACTTCTTTCTGGGATCTTATGGGAGTTAGGGCAGTCATCAACAAGTTGCCCGTAGCTCTCTTCGTTATAGATGAGGGATGGGCTTAGGGTCAATGACCAAGCCCTGCTGCAACCAGAATCTGCCCGTGACTCTCATACCAACCGGTCACATCAGTTGCTACAGAGTCGTACACTGCTTCATACTTCAAACTTTGAGAATCGCCCAAGATAAGATGGGTCCAGCAGCATGGCGGCTCAAGGGTGGCCCGTACAGTGGTGGTAGCGGCCAGGCGGCTGAAAGGGAGCCAGCTGCGCCAGAGCCGGATCTGCCATGAACACGCGCGCAGTTGTGCTTTTCAGTATCTCGGGACTGAAGCGCATATGTTTGGGCTTTTTGGGCATGTACAGCATGGTCCCACATTTTGTGAAAAAGAGCTTGCCTTTCTGCATGCCCGCACAACTCCAACAACTGAGGTCTTGCGGTGGTCGCCGGCTTCCTCTTCACTTCCTATCTCCCGGAGATGCAATCATCTGAACTGCAGGTCACCAATGGCATTGTTACTGCAAGCGGGTTCCTCTCCAGCGGAGCGTCTGCTGCTGCAGGGCTTATCTCTGGTGGCCTGCTGAGCCTGGGTTGCTGCTAAGGAGCTTAAGTTCAGTTACATAATATGGAGATATAGTAGATGATAGGGTTTCCCTGTTATGGTAACTTAGTTTCAGTTCCTTGACAGCAACCCAGGAGTCTAGTGGATGATGTTCCATTTGCCCAACCTCCAGAGCACGAAGTTGACCTTGACATCCCGCCCGTGTTCAAGTGCAACCCCTTTGACCATGTGAAGCTTGGCAACAGCAAATCCATATTCTCCAAGGTTTGAAGCATGGGCTAAAGTAGGGGTATATAAGGATCCTAGGGTTAAGGGCCCATACTAAGGGCCCATGATTTCAACCTTAGATAAGATACTCTGGCAGTTGGCAAGGGAAGGCGCGCAAAGCAGAGCCCCAAGGATAGGAGATTGTCCAGAACAGGATAGGCACGACGCAATCCATTTCCCAATTACCTGGTGTGCCTAGGCTTGTCGTCAACCTTGAGGGTCCGGGTGGAGAAGCGCGGCGAAATCACATCCTCCGTGAGTTTGCCAAGAAGGGCCTGCGAAACAGGTTTAAATTCTGGCCGGCTGTGAACTTCGGCAAGGACGAAGGGCTAGCCATAGAGACAAACCAGAAGCAATGCCCCTGCGATCCGAAGGTAGGTTGTGGATTGAGCCATAGGCGCATCTACGAGACCATGCTCGCAGAGCAGTGGGCCTGCGCCACAATTTTCGAGGATGATGTGACCTTGGCAGAGAACTTCACCACTAGAATAGAGGCTGCCATGGACAGCATCCCGCCCTTCGACGTTATTCTTTGGGGCTTCTGCCCCGGCGGCTATAAGCCTCGGCACGGGCCCAAAGACCAGAGCTCAGTGCCCATACTCAGGTACGGCTGGCCCGGCTCATGTGTGCATGCTTACACGGTTAGCCTTTCAGGTGCTTTAGTATTGACCCAAGCGAACACGCCGGTGAGAGTCCCCCCGGATGGTGCAATGGATGGCATGCACTGGTTCAAAGACAAAACTAGATTGCACATCGACCGGTCGGGGGGCATCATAACAGGCTCCTACTGGTTTGCCACCCCCCAGCTATCATGGCAAGGAGTGGAGGCAGACAACTTGGAGGGAGGTGTATAGGACAGGGACATATGATGAATTGATGTCTCACACTTTTCCCTTTGCGGCCGAATTCAGGAGTGCAAGAGCATGGGTTCAAAACGACTTTGTCCAACGCGTGTCTTGCTCGTCATCCTTTGAAGCCCCACTTGCAGGTGCCTAGCATACTTCAAAAGTCAGCCTACTTTTTCATAGCGCAAGTGCCCCAGAGATTTGGCGATTCATGGGATCATGGCACCTGGTTTCTTTTTAGCCTCGCTCAGGATGCAAGCTTGTTGTTGAGTAGCCTTCATGCAAATCTCGCTGTCTTGTGCGAGTTGAGTACAAGAGGGTTTTGGTTGGGACAATTGTGCTGTCATAAGGAATATTGAATGCGTATGACAATGTGCTGACAGTTCTGGTAATTACACACACAAGCGTATACAGACTATGCCGTGCCTCCCGCATTCGGCTAAGGATCGTTTCGGAGGATAGGTCAAGGACAGCGTGAATCACATCGTCCCCTTGCTTTCAGGGCTTAAATTCCAGCATTTCGCTTCTCACTATGCGAAACGTCTTACATGCAAACTTCCAAGCCAAAGCTTCAAAGCCCCCAGCAACTTAGCCAGAATAAATAAACCTTGAACTCGTATCCGAAGGGTTTTCCCTCTCGCGTGGTTTATCAGCAGGTCCCTTCTTTTGAGCAGTTGTTGGGCAAAAGGTCCTAGAAGATGGAAAGCTTCAGGGCTGACTTGGCAGCATACAAAAGGACCTGGCTTTCAATGGAAAAGGTTCAGGGTTTAGGGTTTAGGGTTTAGGAACCTTGTTTGAAGCCCCATTGCAGCTGCATGTTGTACCTTGCTTGTGCTCTCATGAATAGCTCGGAAGCTTGTAGTCTACTAGTTGCTTGCAACAACAAAAGGCAGTCAGACCGGAGCCTCAGTCCTGGGTTCAAGGTCAGGGTTCCTGGCTGTGCATGAGCCCAGATGCAAAAGCGTCAGGGATTGGAGCTCCAGTATATGGCAAACATGTTGGGAATGAGTCTGGGTACGGTATGTCCCTGATTGTGTCACGGTTCGCTTATGCGTACGCAGGACCCATAAGTTAGCTGCTGGCAGGTATCAGCAACGTGTTTGGTTGTCTTTCACTTCGGTGTCTCCTTCTTGGACTCTAGGAAATGTCAACATTGCTAGCTTTTAGAGTGCCGTTTTTCTCCTCTTGCAGGGCGCAGGAGTTCCACTTACACGCTTTTCTAAAATGAGACAAATTGCCGCCATCAAGGCGGGAGAGCACGATGCGCGGGAGACCGATGAAAAGTCATTGATCCTGTAGGGTAAATACGAGATTCAGGGGCTCCCAATGCAAGACATGTTTGATGTTCATGTGCCGCCTAACGAGACGAAATCAGCAAGCTCATGTGTTGCTTTCTGGAACAAGGCGTGGCCACGAATTTCTCTTCGCTAGCATTTCAGGCTCAGCAAGCACGAGGATGCTTTGTAGAGCCATCTGGCTGGCAGAAGGTGCAAGCATGAGAACATAGTGACGAGGGGAGCAGATTATTATTCGCAAGCTTTTAGAAGCTGCTCCCTCTAGCATGTTCTAAGCAAAACGGCACAATCTAATCAAAGCACTGTAGACTTGCAATTCCTGTCATCAAAGACGCAGCCTAATTTATTGCGTGCAAAAATCAGCCAATGAATTGGCGCCTGCTTGTGGTCTTCAGCGTGGCAATCATTGCGGGAGCCCTTCTGCTACTGCTGCCGCTATCAGCTATCACTCGTAGCCGCCACCACCGCCGCCGCCGCCACCACTGCTGCCGCCGCCACCACTGCCACTGCCACCACCACCGCCACCACCACCGCCGCCGCCGCCGCCGCCGCCACCACCACCACCACCACCACCACGACCACGACCACGACCACGACGACCACGACCACGAAGATCACAACGACAACGAACATGACGACGACGACCACCACGACGACGACGGCGGCGATGATGACGGAGGTGGCGGCGACTACGACTACTACGCCTCCAAAAAGTTGTTATTATTGTTATTACTACTCCTCCGCCTGCTCCTACTCCTGCTTCTACTCCTACTCCTGCTTCTACTCCTCGCCAATAGCTTTGGCATGGACAGTTGCGACTCAGTTGCGACAGGGTTTTCCGGAAGCGCCCAATCTTCAGACGTGCAATACGCAAAGCAAGGAAGCGCTGTAAATGCCAAAACGCCATCGCTTTTGAGCGAATCACACGTGTAATTGACATCTGGCAAAGCACATGTCTTCCAGAACAACCAACTGATGCGGCCGGTGCTGTATGAAACGCAGGAAAAGAAGTGAACGACTCACAACTTGGATGCTTGCATTCTAAGTTGATTCTCTTCCTATTACTTGTACTCTTGTTGTGTCTCTCACGCTTTTGTTATTACGGCTGCTGCTACTGCT